TTAACCAAGGCTCCCTTTTACAGGCTGTACACTTACTACTTTACATTGTAGCAGTGTCATTTCTTCAGTGTTGTCACATGAAAAGATATAATAAAATATTTACAAAAATGTGAGGGGTGTACTCACTTTTGTGAGATACTGTATATTTATTATAGAGTGTCCCTGGGCAGGTCCTGAGTACCAAAGCTGTCAGAGACTTTGGTTTTGCAGCATATGGCGGTGGATGACAAGATCAATGGGAGACTGTCTCCCCGAGCAGTTCAGGCCCCCTAGGACTGCTGGGTTCATGACTACTGTCATGGTTGTGATGCCCTGATTCTTGGTACCAAGGAATTGCCCCCATCTCAGTGCATCAATAATGTGGAATTAACACTTCTGCATTGTCAATGTCAATATTGTATAACCTGGTGACATTGATTGGCTGAGAGTGTTGAACCGACATACACCCAGCACTCTCAGACATTCATGTCATCAGGTGAACTTAGCACTAATAATTTGTAGGTACTATTTCCACACCAAGAAGAGCCCTGGTTTATGTCAAACCAGGATGACCAGTTATAGTGGGCATATTCTTTAGTTTGCCTTTCAATTCTACAGAAGTCAACTGCAAAATCTGTCTGTCATCCTCTGTCTCCAACACTGCCATGCAGGCCACGTTATATGCCCATGGAGTATATTGCTAAGCACTTTATATAGACTATTTTACACTTACAGAAATAAATGTCTAATCTGTACCTATGTGTGTAATTACTGCCTCAATTTTATATTTTTGGATAAACTTTAAAATATGCTCATAGTTTTGAAAAATATTATAATATTTTTTTATGTTATATGTTATCTTAATATTTGAATAATTTTCCAAAAAAATTAAATACTACAGAGTTGAGGAATATGTACATGCCTTACAAATAAAAATAATATTCATAATAATACCATCCACTGCACCTTTGCCACTGTGAAAGTGACAGGTGGAAAGAGGCCTCAGTGAAATTTTGTTGAAATTATTTTTTGGGCATTTGTTCTAAATAATATTTTAATAAAAATGAATTTGTTATTTTAAATATCTTGATCTACAACATGCATTTTATAATACTTATCATACTTACATGTCTGATGGCAAACTAAGATAGCAACAAATCACATATTCCAAATTCTCTTTTGGTTGTTAAAATGTGTGACAAGATGTATTGTTCACAATCCCACTCACACATCAGCTATAGATTTAGCTGCCCATTTCCCCTCCCCCAACTCTTACAAATTACCCTTTCATTAGTTCCTTAGCCATTTTCTAGTCTTGAAAAAGTTGGTCCAATCTCATGTCATTCTCTTCCAAGTGATGTTGACCTCTACTTAAAAAATGAGATACTGAAATTCTTATTACATATCCACATAGAGAGAGAAAAAAAAAAATCTTCAATGACTTTTGAAAAAAAATGCAGTGTAAAAAGTATTATATACACAAGTATTAATTTTTTAAAGTATATACCGAAATAAAACTAAAGTTTTATCTTTCATCATTTCTTTTTTCGTTCAAATACACAGCTCAGTAATGACGGAACATAGGGTACATTGATTGTACCATAATTTTATTGATAAATCACAAGAGCGTCATTTTATCGGAATTATCTGCATGCAGTTAAAACCTATGTGTCAGTAAACTGCAGTAATTCTTATAAAATAAATGAAAGATTAATGTATCAGCTTCAACTGTATAATGAATACAAATCATTACATAGAGTGAAAAGATCAGTTTCTCTGTTACCTTGTTTCTATATTCTAGTAATAGTAATGACATTGACATATGAACAAATTAAGCTTGTTTAGGTATGCATGGTATGATCACCGCAGAGCTATAAAATCTATGTATATTGGGCCATGCACACACAATTTAACTACACTGATATGTGTCAGTAATGTGCAATAGTTTCAATGACTGAATTCAAATACAATGTTTGGGAATATAAAAAAAAATATATCCATTAAATAGTACAGTACTCTGAAAATATATTACAGTGTATTTATTGAAATGAATAGTGTATATATTACAGTTTCTCTTTGGTAGTAGTAAAAGTGACAGATTTGGAAATCAATTGACCTGTCTTATAAGCTTGTTAAAGTAGTTATGGTAAGGACAGTACACAATAGTATGCATGCTTTCTTTTTTGGACTATATAGGAGGAGCTGATATGATTGTTAGCACACTCTATTAGCATTCCTCATAAACCTCGAATACCCATCCCCAAATAATGTACACCACCCCCTTCCTGATACAGTTCGCTCACTCTGCTTGTGATGCATTATTTCTCAAACTCCCCCCCTCCCTCTGGATGCTGCATTTATATGCATTCAGACATCAATAGTCCCCCACCCCCTCCAGCAGACACCCTGTGCAGCACCCACTCTTTATACTCCCCCTGGTCTCCCAGCACACAGCCCACAGCCCACACAGGAGTGAGGAGGGGGGCACATTTCTATACACTACTTCTTTTCTCTCTTTTTCTCTTTCTACCCAGCAACACAAAGCATAGACTATCCTTCCTCCTCCACGTTGCTTTAGGGCTGTGCCCTATTGTCCTCCTGTTTTGTTTTTTTTTCTTTAGCTTACCAACCCTCCTCCTTACACCCTTTACCCCTCCTTTATAATCCCCTCCCCTCACCCCGAGCTCCATCTGCTTCGTCCCTCCCTCCCCCTCCCCTCAATCCTGGTGTAAAAAAAAGCACACACACACATTTGAAATCTTTACCCAGTTGTTGCCATGGGAACCCTCCCAGCATAGAAGCCTTGAGAAAAAAAAAAAAGCAATGGGCGCCTGTATCTACGTATATTCACTCCACTCCGCCCATGTGCATGCATTACTGGTGCTTTCTGCCTTAGTAAATAAAAGCAGGAAGGGGGAGAATTTATATATCTATGTATATGTATGCGTCCTTAAGACCATTGTATTGTGTTCATTATTCCCTTCTAATTGGGAGCAACAAAGCAGCAGTGTGTAGTTTGTATTTGAGTTAGAAGAACCATGTGCTCTGGGTTGGGCCAACCTCAAATATACTAAGACAGAAAATATAAACGTGGTGCCTCCTACATGTGATGACAGAATAGGGTGGCTGGGTCCAACAAGCCCCCCCCCCCTTTTTTATATCACTTCAGTGTGCTGTAAGGCAGTGCATGAAAAGTGCTCTCCTTGCAGTATACAGCATCCAATGTTTAATAAGGGAAAGCAGTTAGCTAATTAAGGCAGTGCTGGTCCTGCTTTGTTAGTGAACGGATTACTCTCTCCAGACTCTAGCATGTGAATGCTATTTACTGCGGGGCAGCAGTAGATCTTGAACTGCCTCGCCAGCCTGTAGACATGTGTCTAGGAAATAATGGCGGATATGACAATACTAGGGTGGAAGAATGATAGATATCAGTCTACAGACAGAGGATGTTAGCTCACCCATTCCTGATCAGTGAGACACCACACCAAATACCCAGGTCAATAGTTCCTGTGCAAACTGATGAAGATATTCACCTTAAATTGCAAGCCTGCTGCATTGGTTAAAGGGAGCCATGCAGTGTACAGTTTATATACAGATCTCTAGAAGAAATATGAGAAGAAAAAAAACCCCCAGCTCTCCCCCATCCCAATAATCATTTAATAGAAGGGGTTATGGCGGGAAAGGGTCAGGCTGCAGCTGCCTTAGTGGATGCATGGTGTTAGAGAGGACATGGTGTGTGTTAGCCAGTGGGCTATCCGTGCTGGGGGAGGGGGGCGTCCTGGACTAATAACCGTGGAGTTTTCGCTTAAGAAAACACATATCAATATTAAATGTCAGCTACCCCCCAATCCATCAGTTTAGGCTCGCTCACTCTAATGAAGATCACTTGTCTGGACCCTTCCATCCCCCACCAAAGGGTACCTAAACAATAGGCATCTCCCAGAGGGGAAAAAAGAGCGGGTTTGGTTGTCAGGTTTAATGGGCAGAGCTGCTGTAATGTAAAAGGTGACAGCACTGCTCTGCTGTGTGTATACAGCCCGTGAATATCACATCATTGATGTACACTGCTTTTTTTTTTTTTCCTTTTTCTTTCAGGTGTCATTTAGCAATTTATCTTCAAAACAGATACAGCTGAGTTTACTGTGAAACACATTACAATGTATCAATAATAAAAAAAAATGATTCTGCTTGTTCAACATCTTTGTTGTTGAAATAGTTAAATCTGAATTACTGTAAAAATCAGATGGTCCATTTTTGTTATGTGGGGACAATGAGTTGAAAGACAAAAAAAAATGAGTAGATAATCCCAAGGGGGTAAAAGAGAATCCAGTCCTATAAACTAACAAAGCCCCCCTGCCCCCCTCCCCTTGCAGCCAACTACCTCCCAACCCCCCAAAAATCTTTGATAACCTTAACCCAGCTGCCAGATTAACCCTTAAGGCTGAACAGGAGAAGTCTCTTTTTTAGAATTAAAGGCAAACAGCTAATGGATGTCTGTAAAGACATGGTTTTTTTTTTTTCTTCTTCTACCTACACTATAATAATAAGAGACAAATACATATATATATATATATATATATATATATATATATATATATATATATATATATATATACACACTGCCCCCTCCCTGGACGCTATTGCTGGTGTGATTGTGAAATGCTCACTTTCACACCCTATTATATCCAGGATCCTGTCTCTTAAAATGGTCTCGTCTTTACATGGTGAAAAAGCTCCTTCCACTGGGTGGTTGAAACCTACAAATCAGAAATAATTAGACAACAGCATTTAATTAGAGCCTGGAGCTAAATGCAAGAAAATATTTCTTTGCATACAATATTATAGCAGAGGAGGGGGTGTCTTTTTTTTTTGCTTTTTGCTTTCACATCTGGACAACAGACACAGTCATTTTCGACTTGTGATCCTCCACGAAATTTGATCTTTCTCTCTCATTTTTTTTTAAAAATACCTTTAAAAAAAAATTGCCCAGGAATACGATAATTTCTATCAATTAAGAGGCGGAAAAAGGCGCCCAATCTGTTGATCAGCCAGCTGAGATAAGAGCGGAGAGAGTAGGATAAAAAAGGGGGGACATAAACAATGAATTGATGCAGCCAGACAAACAACAACTCACTTTTACTGTTTAATGTAAAATCCGACAAGCAAACAGCAAAAACACAACATTCCCTACAAAACCACTAGTGAGTATTTTGTTATTATTATAATAATGATTTTATTATTGGGCACAACAACCAAAGCCAGCTTTAATTATGCAATCTCTTAGACACGCTCAGCCCACTCCCCCCACTTCTCCTCTTTCTTACAGTCCTTAGTGTTGGACTATTTTCTCTCTCTTTATTTTTTTGTAAATATGGTATTTGTATTAGTGATCAGGTTTTTTTTTTTTTTTTTCTTCTAATTCTTGCAAAGCTGGGCTGCATTGTTCTGCCTAAAATTCCAAACCCCGCCCCGTTCTTTGTCTAGCCGTTCTGTGATTGGCGAAGCCGGGACTGGGCTGCCGTCATGCCTTAGCAAGCCCATTCATCTGTGCACTTGGGCGTTGGACACTGCATCTTATTAGCGAGCAGGGAGATTTCTCCATTTTCCTGTTGTACCTTTTTAGCACAGCTACAAATCTTGGGGATCCTAATATTTTTTTTTATATATAACCATCTAACTCTCAACGTTCCATCCTAGAAGGACGGGATAAAGAAGAGGGCAATATATTTTCTCCAGCCAGCTTAATTGGGTGAATATCTTTTGCACTTTGTATTTTTTTTTTGTTTTGTTTCTTCCCTCCCCTCCTCTTTGCAAAGAGGAGTTGCAGCTGTATTCCTCCGGCTCTGATCTCTTTTGTGCCCAGGCTTCAGACACCAGCCACATCTCTTTGTCTCCTTTTCCTGTGTGCCTGCCTTCAGTAGCTCTCTCTACTTTGTAAAAAGAGAAAATATTATAGCTATATTTTTGTGGTCTTATTCAATCTGCAAATATACAACTTTTTTATTATTCAGTACGTATAGATAATAGCATAAATATATATTTTATATAAAATCTGATCTTGTCTCTGGGAGTGACTTCTGCCTTTGCCTTTTGTTGGATATACAGACAGCAATGGGAGCCCAATTCTCCAAGAGTCCATCCAAAGGTGAAGCAGCCACCGCTGAGAAACCAGGGGAAGCAGTAGCAGCATCTCCATCCAAGACTAATGGCCAGGTAACTGCATCTGTTGCATCCTTGTCTAGAGATTACTTGTGGGTTTAAAAAAAAAAAAAAAATCTTTTTTTTTTTTTTTGCTGGGATGGGGGGGTGATTAACATGTTACTGCTACTATAATGTAAGTTGCATTTTCTATGTACAGTATGCTTGATAGAAGTGACAAATTTAAATGATCTGATGCCCACTGCAGGTTTAAGTTCATTATTTTTTTTTATTTTTTTTTTGTGAGATCTGATGTACCTAGATGTGTTGCGTTCCCTATATGATGCAACGTTTGGTGCCCCCCTCTCAGACTTGGCTCCCACTCCCATGATTTCCCCCCCAGTGGCACGTTTTAATTGTTTTTGGATAGGGAGGTGGCAGCTATTAAACTACCTGCTATGGGGATTCATTGCTCTTTCTTGCTTGTTTGTCACTCGCAATTATGTCTGGTATACAATATAATGATTATATCAGAAGATCGCCTGGGATTACTATAGTAGATTCATTGTATGTTGTACTGATGGCTAGGGATGTGCCCATTCTGCTAGCACCATAGTCTAGCAACATGTGGCTTGCAAGCTTCAGTGATCCCCAATGTAATCCTAAATCCTAGCCATCCAGCTCTGCATTGTTGTCTCTTTGTCAGGTAGGCACCTGAGATGGCAGATGGTATGGAGTATTTCAGGTGATCAGTTCACGGATTGCAATAAAAGTAACCTGATTCAATGTGTTCCCCCTACCCTTTACGTTTGATAGAATAAACTGGTTTAAACGAAGGAAGTATTGGAGGACGCTATTGTATAGTGTTAAATTTATTTTCTTTTTCTTTTTTTTTCTTTATTCCCCTCTTAACATCTTGTCTGAGAGGGAAAGCCAGGGGCTTTGTCTCCGTTTGCTCCTCGCTAGAGCTGCTGCTGGGAAGGCGTGATCTGGGAGCTAATGTTCTTGCAGCCTGCTGAGCTCCCCGGAGCATTCAGCCGCTGGTGGAGGCACAGCGCCCTCTAGTGTGCGCGCTCGGAAACGCAATAGAATGGGCAGAGCCAGAGCTGGGTTTGGAGGCGGGGATGACGATAATGGTGGGAAATGTTGGTCTATTTTCAGCTGAGCACATTGTTACTGTATTCAGTAACTAGAACGTGCAACTGTAGTTATCTTTTTTGAAGTAATGCTTGTAACCTTGAACTGTTTACTTGTCTCTTTGGAAAAAAATAAAATTTTTTATATATATATATATATATATATATATATATATATATATATATATATATATATATATATATATATATAATTTTTGTTTATTTTAAAACCAGTTTTGTGGTTAATAGTGTCTGTCTACCTTAATAGGGTTATTTAATTAAAGTGAATTTCAAATCTAAGGTAAATTGGAAAATTTTTTATTTAGGTATACTTCCAATTTAACGACTTTACCTTAAATTTTTAGATTCACTTTGAATTCTAACTCAACAATAAACAGATGGTTTAAGACATGTTTGCAACCCTTCCCTAAATATGAAAGCATATCTGGTTTACAAGAATAACTCGAATAGCATATTACATCAAGTAGATTGAAGTTGCCCATAGGGTTATGGTTCCCAATGCAGGCCTGAAGGCACACCTGTGGTCCAGGATTGGGATTTTGCTAATTTGTTGCAGTGGTGGTATTGCCAAAGCCTGGGCCACCTGTGTACCTTGTACTGGACTGGGGTCTACTGTCCTATGGTACAAACAATGTAAATTAAGAATATCTGCTGTAATGCCTTCTAACCCAGATGGTGGTTTGTCATAATTGGTCACTTGTGTATTTAAAATGACCCTCTCTTTTCCTTTTAGGAGAACGGTCATGTGAAAGCTAATGGAGATGCATCTCCTGCGGCAGCTGAGGCTGGGAAAGAGGAAGTACAGGCCAATGGGAGTGCCCCTGCCGAGGAGACTCCAAAGGAAGAGGCTGCAGCAGCTGAGGCTGCACCAGAAAAGGAGGCCGCAGCAGCCTCTCCTGCCGAAGGGGAGAGTGCAGAACCAGCCTCTCCTGCTGAGGGTGAATCCTCTGCCAAAGCTGAAGAAGCAGGGTCCACATCTACACCTTCCACCAGCAATGAAACGCCCAAGAAGAAAAAGAAGCGTTTTTCATTCAAAAAGTCCTTCAAATTGAGTGGTTTTTCTTTCAAAAAGAACAAAAAGGAGAACAGTGAAGGAGGAGAAAGTGAGGGCGCAGCTGCATCCACTGAAGCAGCAAAAGAAGGCGCTGCTGCTGCTCCAGAGGCAGCAAGTGAAGAGGCCAAGCCTGCCCAAGAAGAGGCTCCTGCAGCCAGCAGTACAGAGGAGAAAAAGGAGGAGGTTGCAGAAGCATCTCCTGAACCCCAGGAGGCCAAAACAGAGGAGGCTACACCAGAGAAGCCCTCTGAGGAGGCAAAGCCTACTGAAGAGCAGAAAACTGAGGAAAAACCAGCAGAAGAAGCCCCAGTCCCTAGTGCTGCTCCAGAAGCCCATTCCAGTGAACCAGAGGCACCCAAAGCTGAAGAGCCAGCAGCTCCTACACAGGAAGCTACATCCGAATCCAGTCCAGCAGCTGAGTCAGCAGAGTAAAAGGCAGTTTTGAGATAATCAAAGAACTCTTTTCTCCCCTTGTTTGTTTGTTGGAGTGGTGCCAGGTACTGGTTTTGGAGAACTTGTCTACAACCAGGGATTGATTTAAAAAGATTTTGTTCCACTTTTTTTTTTTTTTTTTCTCCTTACAGATCCCATCTCAAATCATTCTGTTACCACCATTCCAACAGGCCGAGTAGAGGTTAAATCAGTCACCGGCCTCATTCCTTTCTCGCATCAGTATTAATGTTTTTTGCGTACTTTGCATCTTTTATTGAAAATGTATAATTTTTTTTCTTTTTTCCTTCACTTAATGGACTTGCCCATACATGAAGGAGATGGGCGAGTTAACAAGGGGCTTATCAAATGAAGTGATGAGGGGGGCCACACTGGTGTCTAGGTGGTACATACATTGCCAAGAGATTGTGCCACACAGAATGGGGTTAAGGTTCTGTTTTTTCCTTTTTAGGTTATGTATTTTTTTTTTTTTTTCAAGAGAAAGTAATTTTGTATTTTCTTTATATTGAGGGCAACCTTCTTTAAGGTTTACAACACTAAAGGTCTTTTTACTAAGACAGCAAGCAAAATAAAACAAAAAATAAAATACCCAGATCATAGTTTTAGTAATTCATTTAAACCATAGGAACTTTTCACTTATCTCATGTTAGCTGTAACAGTCGGTGATTAAGTAGAAATAAGAGTTGTATAGGCTTTATTGTTTTTTGCTGGTTTATGACCTTAATAAAACGTAATTCTGTATTACCAGCAGGGTGTTTTTAACTGTGACTATTGTATAAAAGGAATCCTGATCTCTGAAAGCACATAAAGTTTGCAACTCCTTTCACCCTGCCCATTTTTGTAAAACTGCAGTCATATTGGACCTTTTAAACACAAATTTTAAACTCAACAAAGCTGTGATAAGTGGAATGGTTACTGTTTATACTGTGGTATGTTAAACATTTTTTGGTTTGTTTTTTTTTTTTGATTATGGCAGACAATGCTTTCTTTTCCAGTTGTCTTTAAGAATTAAGGAAAAATCTCTTCAGATGCAATGGTTTTTGTGTAGCATCTTGTCTTACATGTTTTGTAAATACTGGAGAAGCTTTGACCAATTTGACTTAGAGATGGAATGTAACTTTGCTTACAAAATTGCTATTAAACTCTTGCTTAAGGTGTTCTAATTTTCTGTGAGCACACTAAAAGCGAAAAATAAATGTGAATAAAATGTATGATATGTATTTGTGTTTCTTTGACAGTCAATTTTTTTTTTTTTTTTTTTTTTTTTAAATATCCCTTCTCACAAACATTGGGGCAAAGTGGGTTGTTAACTCCATGGTCTCACAAACTTTGACTATAAAATAATTTGGGATTCCATATCTTAAATATATAAACTGCATTATTAAAACTTTGTATTGTCTGGCACATTTAAGGCCCGGTTTGGGAACTGTTGAGAGAGACCAGGGTAAAATTTAGGTCTTTACTTTTATTTTAATATATCAACACTATTTGTACCTGCAGACACTTCTTTAAATATCGATGTAAGCACCTGGTGTTTTGTAAATATGCAAAGGTGTGTTTTATGTTTTTGGACATGAGCCAGGTACTTATAGAATAGAGCATTACTTTAAAAAGTAACATCATTGGGCTGACTGACATGTTCATTTAAATGGGGGCATACAAAGTTCATATTTCCCCCTAGTGATAGAAGGGGAAACTTGCACATAGTATGATTGCCAGTTGAAGGTACCATTTTATATCCTCAAACAAGTTACCTTTTCAGAATCAAGGCACACTTTTTTTTTTTTTTTTTCTTCCCTTCTTCCTCTTCCCCCTCCACTGATGTATAAATGCTGCATTTACTTAACACTAGTTTGTCTATTTCCTTCTAGCCCAATAGTTGTAAATTGGTAAGCCAAGTTAATGGCGCTAAAGTCTGTATATCAACAGTATTACAACCCTGAAGTAAATGTGTTCATGCCACATTTTGAGGTGGCTTAAGATAACAAGTGTACCACATAATGGCAGAAAACATCCTGTAATGGACTACATTTGTAGTTTCTGCTCCAATATTCCCCTCCTCCCCATCTTGATTCTTTGCATGTGGATTTTGTGTGTAGTCCGTATCTGACTACTTTACGAAGATAGGAATTATGGATACTTGACCAGAGTTAGAAGCATGTGGGGATAAACCTGTAGAAAATTGCCTATTTGGGCCTAATTGTACAGTTCCCTTATTTCTCAATTCCTACCTTGCTTAATAAACCACTTTGGATTGTCTCTTAAATGACTGGCATAATCTTACATTTATTTTTTTTTGTCCCCTTTTTTTACAATGTCCCCTTTTCCTAGAAATCTGCTTCATTCTTCCAATTACTGGTAAGTAGAGCTGAGTTTCAATACTTCATCAATTATGTTCTAGGGTTGCTTTGACCTACAAAAAGTAGTTCATATAGCAAACATTGGTTAGAAATGGCAAGGTCATCTCAAGTTAAAGGCCAAAATGCAGACATATCAGTCAGGAACTCACAATTTCTAGTAGACTGTGTAAGTGACAGCAGGCGCTCCATCTTAGATACAGGTTGAGCTTATACGGGAGCCTTACCAAAGCTACTAGAAAAAGTGGTTATGGTTCTTTTATGTGGCACATCCCCCAAAAAGTGCTTTCATCATACCATGGACCAAACCAGTATAGCACATTACCCCATCAGATTTAGTAAATAAACACCAGATGTTCAGGGGGAGAGAAAAAAAAGTTGGGTCCAATTTTAAAAATAAATCCATAAACAAACATTGGCTGGCTAGGCTTCCAGTTCAGCTACTTATGCCTTCAATTTGAAACTTCTGTATCATGCAATCCATGCTTTTTACATGAATTTCTTAAAGTTTAGTTTTCCAGTTAGTTGAGCTACAATCTTAAGATTTTGTAGTTTAAAAAAAAAAAAAGTGTCAGGATGACTTCTAATCACTAGCTAAATGTGAATTCAGCATGGTTTTGTATGTTTCTTAAAGGGACACTATAGACACCCAGACCACTTCATCTCATTGAAGTGGTCTGGGTGCATTGTCCCAGTCCCCTTAATCCTGTAATGTAAAACATTGTGGTTTTAGAGACTGCCACTAGAGGCACTTTCTACATTTACATGGAGTTTAACTAAGTGGGATGTCGAGCGTCTTGAAAAACCCCATAGGAAACCATTGATTCAACTTAATCAGACATGTGCATTAGGTTCCCATATTGCTGTGGTCTGACCCAGCACCAAGAGACTGTGCTGGCACTGGGTAAGTGGGGGGATAAATTGGATTTTTACCCCTTTATTGAATGTGTGGCAGGAGGAACCAGGAAGGGCCAAAAGACAGACAATATAGTTTTAGGAATACGGTTTTGTATTTCTAACACTACAGTGTTCCTATAATTCTGGTTACAGATTACACATTTATATTCTAAAGTTAAAATAAGGACTATTTTTTTATATAAATATGTAATTGTCCCTCAAGTTCTAGCTTAGGTAAAAACTTTACCCAACTACCCTCTTATTCTAATTTAACTGCTGGCTGTGGGAATGTTTGTAAAACATGATGATAGGAATGGGAGACACACTTAAGTCACAACTCTCTTTTATGAAGGTCAGAATGAGAGGCTTGGTGGATCTGCAGGATGTCAAATCTTCAGATTTCTAAAGCATGCACAGTGGACCAGTGATGTCTTCCATGTAATACCGCAAGGACAGTCAATTGAATTGATAATTAAAATTTACTAAGGAATCTTAGATTAAATCCATAGTACAAAGAAATTTGTGTTCGGTGCTTATGACACTGTCACACTATGTGCTACATCTCTCACAATACTGCATGGTATGTATGATGCAACCATACTAACACAATTTTATTTGTATATTTTGACACATATACTCTCCTTTACAGAAGCGCAATGTCACCATTTGTGATGGTTTATACAAACTATATACGTACTGTTTGTGCATTGTCCCAACCATTTATCCACGAAATGGTTAATTTTTACTTCTTTTAAACAACCGCACAATATTCCATTTATGTCAAGAAATCCAGCATATTCGGCAACACAAAAATAAAATGGTACAATAAGCCAGTTCTTAATTTAATGTTGGCATATGAAACAATTTTTTAGCACATCAGATCTTTAGAATTACAGATATTGGGAGGTAAAAATTATTTTGTATAAACCTAAAGTCATACACCTTTCAATATCATTTTATTTTATAGAAGATTTACAATACATTTAAATGTTTTACTTTATCCTAACTGCATATTCAAAAAAAAAATAAAAAATTTTGAAAGTAAAAATTAGTTTTAAATAAACTAGAGTAAACTTTCCTTCCCAGAAATCATGTGACAGTATTAAATAATGAAAATTAACAAAGGTTCTAAGTTTCTGAATTTTTGCCACACCAGGTGTTCAGCCATAGTCCATCTTTCACTTACTACTGTGCTTCAAGGGATCTTGTATTTCTTGTAATAGATGGATGCGCACCAGCCAATGATATAAATACTTCTATTAAAAAAAAACCTAAAAAAAAAACCCAGTTATAGTTAAAAGATTATAACTTGTGTTTTTGTTCTCTAAAACCATCAAATAATAGTTTGAATTTAAGAATAAGGAAGGATATCCCTTTATTCGGATGAGAAAAGTAGGATTTTCAGTTCTCCAAAAAAAGATTGTGTAAATAACAAAACAAAAAAAAAATGATGGGTACATAAATATGCTATGACTAATTAATGGAATTGTACATTTATTGGGGTGTAAACAAGTGAAGAAAAGACTTGTGAAACACCAATAATTTATATTTAAGCCATAGGACTTAAATTGATTTTATACAATATTGTAGCCAAAAGTTAAAGACAAGAACATCTCAGTGCCTTTGAATGCTAGAGTTTAATGAAGAGATTCATATTACCAACATTGGGAGGATCTCCAGTTATGTGAAATTAAAGAATTTGTTAGCAGTAAAGATCTAAAAAAGAGAAAGAGAGAATGGTATCTCTTAAAGCAAAATAAATATATTAAGCAGCTACCCACAAGAAAAGGTGGCAGAATTGTATATAGCTATATAACAAAAATAAAACAAGTGTGGTTGAGCTAAAAAATTAAAAATAATAAATAAATATATAAAAAGTTAAATGATAAAATAATAATATAATATAAAAACATTATAAAATGACAAAATAAAAATGGTCACAGGTGTCTAACTGCCACCGTGTATATATTGGACAAGCAGCAGTAGAGATCACAATACTTGACAGTCTGGCTATAAACACAACCGTTAATGGATAGCCGATTATTTCTTCTTTCTAGCAATAGTGCAATCTGCCCTGGAGCCACAAGCTGAAGGGTATTTCTCTACAATATGGGTGACATTATATCTGTGTTCTAAGAGTAGATGTGTATCACTACTGCTGATATTAACAGATTTGTAAAGTGGCCTAATTTGCAGGGGACTTCCAATCTTCAACTAAGTCAGTTGGAGGACAATTTTGTTTGCATAATACATTGTTGCAGTGAACTGGATTGGCACTAATTGCAGCCAGGTCTTTAAAAAAAAATAAAATAAACGTTTTTTTTCGCCACTGACCGGTAGGTCTTTTGCAAATTAAAAAAAAAATATATATATTTTTTTGCTGCTAAACAGTCTGAATTCGTGACTAGTGATCACACACACAAGAAGTGCATTGAAATTAAATTTCATAGGGTAAATGATGAACCAGATGTTATATGTAGAAACAGATATCGCATTATTTACTAAAACGAGAATTGCAGAGATTTCAAATTTATGCCAAAATAGCCAAATATGAAACATTCTCAAAGTCTATACTTTTTTCAGTTCAGCTGCTTTGGCTTTTAATCTGAAATTCATTTTTAATTTCTGGCAATTCTCATTTCAGTAAGTAACCCTGCAAATAGTTGCATTAATTCTATAAGTGGAAAGACAAAGAGATAACAGGAAACAACTCAGAAGGAAGTGCAAAACACCCAATTCGATGACCAACATCTTGGGTGCACAATTAACAGCTGGTAGTAAAGGATTGAGTCACATTTTAAATCAATACTTGGGAATAATTAAGGAAATAATTTACACAGTAACACACAGAATCCAGTGGGGAGAAAACACTGAGAGGTAGGTGTCCTACATCATAAACTAACACCAAAGAACTGAGAGTCAGTGATTCCCTTTAGATTGTAAGCTTGTTTGTTGTTCATCTACTGTTCCCACATGTCCCCACACTTGTTTTGCTAGACTTGTTTGCCTTGTGTTTTTTTTTGTTTTTTTTTTAAATAGATTCTTTATTTAGGTACAGTTATGAAAGTATGCATAAAACATCAGGTCTATGCATGTGTAAACCAAAAATAAATATTAAGAATGTTTAAAAAAATAAAAAATTAACACTACAAATTTGACATAGGCAAACATATAGATCATGTCGTAGCTTAGAACCATGGAAGTCTTGTAAATAATTATTTCTAAATTTTTAGGTTACATTTCCTTATATCATGTCTCAACAGATGACCTCTTATCTGCTAATAAACAGGTTATATTATTACTATTGGTATTTATATGGCAATAGGACAGTGGCGGATCCAGAGCCTGATCTCGGCAGGGGCACTTGTAGTTTATTTAAAGAAATAATCCAGACACAATAACCACTACAGCTCAGTGTAGTGGTTATGGTGTCAACAGTGCCGGGACCCCCTCCCAGAGTAAGTAGTCAAACCGTTTAAGAACAGTTTGACAACTTACCTGAGGTCTGCTGGGAAATGGGGCTGTAGTAGGGCATATGAGCAGTGGTGTGTGTGAGTGGTGCAATGTGTAAGGGGTGCAGTATATATGTGTGTGTGTGTGTGTGTGTGTGTGTGTGTGTGAGGGGGACAGTGTGTGAGCTTTGTGTGTGTGTGAAGGTTGTAGTATGTGAGTGAGGGCGGCAGTGTATGTCAGGGATGCAGTGTATGTGTGGGACAGTTTGTGTGTGTAACAGTTCCAGTGTGTGTGTGAGTATTGCAGTGTATGTGTCAGTGTGGACAATGTGTGTGTATGGGGGCAGTGTGTGTATGGGGGGCAGTGTGTGTGTATAGGACATTGTGTGTATAGGGGGGGCAGTGTGTGTGTATGGGGGCAGTGTGTGTGTATGGGGGCAGTGTGTGTGTATAGGGGAGGCAGTATATGTGTATGGGGGGGCAATGTGTGTGTATGGGGGCAGTGTGTGTGTATAGGGGGCAATAATGTGTGTGGGGGGGCAGTATGTGTGTATACAGGG